CTGGAATTGCAACTAAAAGAATAAAGGAGTTAAAAATAGATACTACAGTTACAGTTACGACATCAACGAGTTCCACGAATGCCAGACATATTTTAACTTGTACTTGCATTTGTTTGTCTTGCCACCATGTAATTGCATGCAATACAACAACAATAACAAGTAAATAAGGAAGATAAGTTCGGTTGTAACCGTTTCATACGCTTGCAACTTGCAAGGAACAAAGGCGGAGGAGGCCAGAAGGTGTTGGCTTCGGCAAAACTTTATTTTAAACTAAGGAAAGTAACGCCATGATTTCATCCATTTAACGAAAGAGAATTAGAAAAATATTATTTCTGAATTTCATTAAGATTTCTTACATATTTGCCGATAGATGTGGCATAAGGTGAACCAGAGGTTCGAAAATATTTATGTTAGGTATATGAAACATAAATATTTTCGAACCTCTGGTTTACCTTATACCACATCTAAGGGACGTGTTAACCTGCTTTTACACATTCAAGCACAATTTCAGCGCGATTTCGACAATTTTGGGACGTAAGATTAAATTTCTTAAGGGAAGTATTTGCATAAAGTTTTGTTCTGATAACTTTATTTATGTTTGATTTGTATACTGTAAAGTGTAAGAATCAGGCGGAATTTAAATGTTTATTATATGCGAATTAGGCATGGTTGTCATCCGATTTCACCCATTTTTGTAGTGTCAAATAAGAAGAATAAATTTGGATGAAATCCGTAGAGTAGTTAACGAGATATAAGATTTCACTTAAAGATGGGCGGTGCCACGCCCTTGTCCAATGTTAACACCAATTTCTATACGCCCTTTTTCAACCATTCTGCTTGTGAAATTTAATGCTGGTGGCTCAATTTTTCAGTGAGTTGTCGTACTATTAGTAGTTTTCAACATAACTGTTATATGGGGAGTGGCCGTGGTTGTTATCAAATTTTACTTATATTTACTGAGTTTGAAGGGAAGATAAATGACTTCTGCTCAGCAAGTTTGGCTGATATATCTAAAAAGGTTTGGAAGATATGGCTAAAGCGATACTTGTACCACAATACAGTTCCGTTACTTAATTTGAAGCTTAGCGAATTTGCAATACCATATATAATATGTATACAAAGTTTCATTGAGATATCTCAATTTTTACTCAAGTTATCGCTTACACGGACAAACGGATGGACAGACAGTCACGCTGATTTCAATTCGTCTCGTCATCCTGATCATTTATATATACATAACTCGATATCTATCTGGATTATTCTTAGGTGATACAAACAACCGTTAGGTGAACTAAACTATTATACTCTAAAGCAAAATGTTGCAAGAGTATAAAAGTAGTAAACAGCTGCTAAACAAATGAAAACAATACAAGCAGTTAGCAAATAATAACGGTTGTTAAATTTGCAACAAATAAACACCGAAAACACTTCAAAAAGTGGTAAATACAAAACAATGCAATCGTGAAGTACAAAATGAGATGTCAAGTTATTTAACTAACAGTTTTTATATTCATAAGCTGAAATATTATGCACCAAAAAAGAGTGCGTATGTAGTAAGGGAAACAGAAAATATAACTCAACTCAAACTTAGCTAACTACAATCCATACTTTGCAACTAAAACTACAAATAAAATTACAACTACAACTATAACATTCACTTTCCCTGCATTCATCTGCTTTGCACATTTTTCAAGTGCCGCACTTACATAGTGACTTTGAAAGTTGCAAGCGCTTTTCGCTGCCAATAAAGTAAGCACGCTCTTAAAACTGAGTGAAAAAGGCGAAGCGGCCGCCAGCGCTTTATGATGACTCACGCGCGCAAATACCGCTACCATGGACGCATACTATTAAGTAGCTGAAATAACTCGCTTGCTAGCTGGCGCTTAGCGGTAAATTGTACACGTTAAAGTGAATGCTTGAGCTGGCTAAGGGCATGCATTTATGAGTTTGTAAAAAATATTATCTAAATACTAAGGAGATGCCATAAAAAACCAGTTATGTTTTATAAGTGTTATATCCTTTTACTTTGCCTTCCCTTTTGCATTCAACGGAAATGTTTTGTAGTGGCTTTTGAACTTAATTTTACACCATAGCAACATGTTGCACAGTGTATAATGCTTGTGTTTACCAAACTGTGGTCTATAACAACAAAAGCTGGTCGGGATAGATTAAGAATTAGAGAGCTTGAACTTGCTTTACCCTCTACTTAGCCTCATTAGAACTCACTTAATATCTAGCTTGAACTCGTTCAACCTCTTGCTGGACATCGCTCACCCTTTAGCATGACCTTGTTCAGCCTCTAGCTTGACTTCAACTGACTTTCAAGCTTGTTTTCAAATGAGCTTCAAAATTGCCCTCCCGCAACTCTTAGGTTTAATCCTCTCGATACCATATATGAAGATCGCAATACCAATGGCCCGACTTATGTCAGGAATATTAATTAATTTGTATGATGGTTCAATTAAACTTGGAGGCCATCTTTTTTTGATAATATTGTGCCGTGCTACCGAAAATTATTAAAATCGGTTCAGTACTTCCATTAGCTCCAATATACCTATGTAAGAATTTTTAACGTCCAACTGGCTTTATACAGCATATATCAGTCAATATGTGAGTTATCATAATAAAATTCTGAGAGCATCTTTTTCCGATAATTATATGATTCAAATGAGGTCAATACCTTCTCTAAACTCCATATAACTAATATAAGGCTTTTATAGAACCACCGGTATTCTTAATACCATATTTAACGGTCAATCTGTAAGGTATCTTAATGACACTCAGAGTGCATCTTTTCCTGGTATGTATTGATGCCAAAAATGTATAAAATCGGATCAACATTACCCCTAGCCCCTCTATACCTAATATAAAATTTTTTTTTAACTTCCGTCTGACTTTATTCCGTATATATAAATAGGTCAATATGTAATATAACTCAGCAAAAGTGAGTGTACGTATTATCTAGGATATAGTAGTCATATATGTTGGTGCCGGAAATTGGTGAAATTGGTCTAAGGACTACCCCAGCACTCATATACATATGTATAACGATTTTTGTTCACTAATTTACATTCTGTCGAATCTACTTGTCAATGTATGAGTTATCTTCAGAAATTTCGATGGACATTTTTTTCCGCTTATTTTGCTAAACAGTGATTATTTAAACTTCTCAATTGTGAGTAATTATCAAGTAATTTTTATTATTTGGAATTATGTTTTTTGACGCCATCTTTTATTTTAAATTTAAATCAGTTAATAACCATACACATAACCGGAACTGTTATTGTAGTAAAATGTAAACTTTTACACTCTTTACATTCCTTTTCTCTCTTTTACTGTTCATTAAATTTTAGTACGCTGCTAATTGGTCACAACTGGAGTTGATTTTCAAACTTTTAATTATTGATAAACTTTTCACATTCGAGCAACTGCAACTATATTTTGTGTGAAGAAGGACAAAAAAGTTAATATTAAAAGAAAGTTCATGTCCGTAACCAAAATTTAAATAATTTTGTGCATGTATGAATATAGGAGTGCAGGCGTGAATACGGCAGTATTCCTCAAAGTTCTTTGGTCCATGGTTCGTATTTATATCGTTACTTTTTATTTATAGTCCTGAGAAATGAAAAAGATGATTGCTTCTACTATTCTTCCATTAGCGGAGTTTTAACGATCGTTTCAAGTCACTTATATTCCTCTCTTCTTCTTACAAGATATTGATAAAGTTATGAAGACAAAATGTGTGGCTTGTTTAACTACTTAGGGTACATGATATCTAAACAACAGTTTTTTTTTTACCAGACTCTATAGTTTGCTGTTATACCCTCCTTACAATTATTACCTTATTTCCATTTTAACAAAACTTGAATTTAAAGCATCTTTTGAACCCTGGACCTACCTTTCTCCAGGCGTGTCGTCTCAGTACTCGAATCATGTTCCCACAGTCCCTTCTATCCAGTGCTAGTAGGAACATTGTGTATTTCTATTCTACTACTTTATTTTCCTTGCCCTGCTTCTGCCCAGATCGTCGTATAGACAATTCATGGGTTTTCCAATGGTGATCACGTTTTCAGGTGACAGCCGCACGAGCCATCTCTTTCTAAGTTTACTATGAATCATCTTTCCTACTTGAAAATTGGAATCATAAAATCGGTGCTTGCCAAACCATCATTACCCGAGCTATATCCGAAGATTCTATATATCAATTTTACTGTACCAAGTAGTCGTCCTGCCGATTTTGCCGCGCTGTCCTTCATCAGTAATACAATGGGAGGAAAGCCTCTGCCAATTGAAACTGAAATAAAAACTGGCAACTATACTAGGTACTGCATTGTAGTGAGCCCTAACCGCTCCCTCGGTGCTCACTTCATGAAGTGATTTTAGTAAAAATCAACACAACCGCACTTTGCCACACATGCATAACAAATCCATCTGCGAATCTAAGCCTGAGCGCATTTGAAAATCACTCAAAAGTGCCACATTTCTGAAGTTCGCCTGCACCCACTACCAGTTGTCTAAATTTAACAAATACACATGTGGGTTCAAATGAATCTGCTAGCATAACCTCACATTCACTAACTTTTAAGTAAACACATGTCACCTGGTACAACGTGGGTCGAGAGTGCATATTTTGTGTATACATGCGTTGGTGTGTGTCTATATACATATATAGATGTTTGTCTCATTATGCAGTTCGCTGTTTTTGCACTTATCGCCACGCTTGATGACGACAGCCCACTATCAATGTCATTTCAATTACTCCTCTGCAAACGCAGCAGAAAACTGGGGTGCACTTCAAACACCCACACATATATACATGCATATATATGCTTCTACATGCTCCTATATACATATGTAAATGTGTCTATGCGTTTGGGAGTGATTCATAGTGCTACCTTCCTGCCATGGATATCAGATCACACGTTCATTTCGCGAAAATTTATGCGCACTCTACACTTGATCTAATTTTGCGCCGAGCTACCTAAATACATATATTTTCACGCATACATACATACACACTTACACAAGCATATTCATTCATTAAAAGCATATTTCACATTGAAAAGTAGGCAAAGCGCGGCGACGGCGACAATCGTTTGCGAAAGTAAGAGTGAGTGGTTGTTATAATGAGCAACGCCAACTGTTGACATGGCAGGCAGCAAATATTCGCATACAATTTGCTATACAATTTACGTTACAGCTTGACGCTATGATTAAATATATATTTTATAGCGATTTTTTATCTTAATTTTTTATTGTTTTTGTTGCTGTTTTCGCTGCGCAGTTATTTTTAAAAATATCACACTTATCACATCGTGTCGTAATTCGTACTTAAAGCGCGGCGTTCTGAGTGGTTGTTCACCCTTGCTAACGAGCAACGCCATTATGTTTTCGTTGTTGCTGCTGTGTTTTTACCGTTGTACCAATTACATTTGCGTTGATGGCTGGTTTAACAGTTGTAAATCGCGCGTTGTTTGCGGCTTTTGTGTGCCACCATCGAACCGCAGAAGCAGTCGTCGCCGCAGTTGCCTCACCAAAGCACACACAACACCGTTGTTGGCTGGAAAGCTATGCTCAGTACAGGGGTGGCTCTCGCTGTGCATAAATGTCGGAAAGGCGGTTAATGTGGCGATTCGAAGGAACACACTTCAACACGGTGATAATCTCAAAGTAGTGGCATTCAACGCGTGAAAAAAGTAGAAAAAAAATTTTTTTGAAATAAGTTAAAAAAAAAAATAAGAAGATAGAAAATAATATTCGAAGAATAGAGCATACAAAATCCAACAAACCGAAGTGACAAATCTGTCACAAATTAATTACATTGTGAATTGATAAGAACAGTGCAAGAAGTGTTTCAAACCAAAGAGTTGTGCTCAGCATTTAAACGTGTAAAAAGAAAAACAAATCAGCTGTCTGTATTTTCTAGTCTGTGAGTGTTTGTTCAATGGCGCGTTTGCTGATTTACTTTTTGGTTATAAATTCATTGTTCCTTTGTCATGATAATGGGCGTTTGCTTGGTGGCAGTAGCAGCAGTGGTCTGGCGGAAGCGACAAACGGACACGGCAGCCAGCTGGAGGGACGGGATCGTCATCATCATGAACGGGGTGGACATATAAGACGTGAGTCGATGCTTCGTTACGACGTGATAAACACTACTCATTTTCGATTAATATTTTTAAGTGAAATTAAATTTAGTAGCCATGAAAGTTGTAAGGTTGTAAAAAATTGATAAAAAACAACAATTATGCTTTCAAAGCGATGTTTAAAAAAAAACACTAATGCTTTCAAAGCGATGTTAACAAAAGGGATACACTTACTTTTTCCATATAAAAAAAAAATATTTGTGAATTATCTAGAAACAATAATAATAACTTTAGTTACCTCATATAATGAGAGCGACAATGTAATTTTGCTTAGCTAAACGATTCATCCACATTTTTTTGTACGCACATATTGAAGAATCGTATTGAAGCGGCGAGGAATATAATTTTGAAATCCTTTCGAAGCGGAGTATACTAAATAATGAATACTAGTTATACAATCCATGGGATAAAATTTTTTCCGACTCAATAATATAATAAAGTTTTACCTTCAGGAGGTAAAGTCAAACTTTCAAAGCATAAGAGAAAGCTGATCCTAAAATTGATAAGCGATACAGAGTATAATTAAGAATTATGAAAGTCCTCATTTATAGAGAACTAACACGTAGCACAAATTGGAGAAAAAATATGCCTGAAGATTAAGTAAATATATTCGCGGCAATAACATGTGTATAGTATATGGCCAGCTACCGATAAGTCTTGAAATCCAAATTAAATGCTGTCAATTCTCACACAATTAATTTATTAAGGGGGTATTCTAGTCTAGATACCTGAATTTTATGTAATTATTAATGAGTCTTAAAAAAAAAGTCAATCAATATTTTTAATACCGATTTTTTATCAGTTATTTATTAATGTTATAAGAGTACAGAAAAAATTAAAAAAAAAAAGTTTATAATTTAAATAAAGTTAAATGATGAAGAGGGGTCCCGAAAAAAATTGTCACATGAGCATACCCATAATTTCAACCCTAATTTTTTGACAAAATGGCGACCGTTTGAAAAAAACGATTTTTTTACAATTTTTTTATTTTCTCGTATTTTTTAAAAATAGTAAAAAAAATTTTATTTGGAAATGAGGCCAGTTTATACTCAAGAGAGGTCTATAAAGAAGATTCTTTGAAAATTTCAAATAAATCCTTCCAGTAGAACTCAAGAAATCGTGGGTATCTTATTGAAAAAGTCTGGTCTGAGAAAAACGCATTTGAAGTTTCGCGTAAAGTCTTTTTAGTAAAATATCTATATCTCCCAAAAAAAATTTAAATTTTCAAAAATCCTCTCGTAGACATATTCTCTAATAGTTAAACATTGAAAAAATCGACTTTCTTGAAATTCTACACTAAAATATTCCCTTAACATTTTCGCATGAGATATAACGAAGGATAACGCGATCCCTGTAACTACGTCGACAGATTTTGTCAATTAAAAATTACCAGGCTTCCCATATTATAATGAAAAAATATTTTACTCGTTTGCTCTCTTTTTGATCTAAGTTGGTAGAAACTCAAATGGGAAAAATGAACTAAACCAAAATCTCTGTTCGTTTTCAGTCGTAATTGAAGAAAAATAATTTTTATTTTAACATCGCCATTTAGAAATCTAAATAAACACACAGTATGGAAATTTAATTTATCCTTAAGTTTCTCAGTTTTATATGTACTAATGGAAAAATATTTTTTCTTGATAACAGTAAACTGGACTGGGTAGATCTTATAAAATTGTATAACTGTTTACGTGACAATATGATAATACCATATGTAAAAAGCTTTCGTCAAAAGTATCTGAAGAAATTTTCCAGATTAGACCACTATTTCATATTGCTATCATAAAAACTGAAGGATCAAAATCAACTTCTTGCATGGATTTTATTGAATTATTAAGTGTATTCTTGCACCTAAGCAACCGAATTTAATTTTTTTCTTGTATTTTTTTTTATTTTTAAAAAATTGTGTGCATATATGTTATATAAAAAGTATCAGACGTTAACGAATACACAAGTACAGCTATAAAAACACCTAATGATAAAATTTTAAGAAAATATTGAGAATATGTACGCCTTACGCTTCTAATGTATAATACAATCTGCTCATACATAAGTACATATGTAAAAATTTATTATCACCATTATTTCTAGAAAATTCAGTATATATATTTATTTCATGACATATGCAAATTCAATATATTTATTTTTTTTATGTTCTCTTTTAGGCGACCTCAACCATTGCTGGCGTCGTTATGATGGCTATAATTTACAAAGCACAATGGTCAATAAGAAGGAGCAATTGAAGAAGCCATATGGCATATTATGCAACTTCAAATGTACTTGGTTTTTCACAATAAAGTAAGTCAATCATATGGTAATGGAAATCCAATACTAGATATGTCTTCAAATATACTAGTTTCTGTAAAACTTCGTGAATAATAAATATAAAATAAAGTGGGTGAGACAATAATTTGTTGCCATAAAAGAGATGTGGGGGTGTGATGGTAATGTGTGTAGGCGAATCAAATGTTGTAAACCAATTTACTTTGAATGCGTCCCAATCCCAGCTAGCCAAACGATTGTATTTTTCCAATCTGTCAAGTTCAAAATAGACATACGTGGGTTTATTGTACATATGCATATTGTTGGGAAATATTTGTAATTTTAAAAGCTGTTCAAGTTATCTATACCTTTATTTATTGTAATATGTGGAAATTATACTTGTATACGAGTATTTTATCAGCAAATAAATTATGATTTTCTTCTGACTCAACCACAGAATGTATTGCTAAGAGTTTGATATTTTTCCGACTCGTAAGATATTGGTATTTTCCAGAGCTTAATTCAGTGCGTCTCTGCAAGCGTCGTCGTTTCGCACTTCAATTGATTTTTATAAGCCGAGTGCGCACATCAAAAGTTTTTTGAACCAATAATTGACTTAAAATTGTAAACTAACAAGATGAAAATGAAAAACAACACAAAAGTACTAAGTATTAGATATTTAAGAAAGCCTTAAAGAGATGCCATAACTTAAAACATATTTTAAATAAAAATAAACACAACAGTGTTGCCACCTGTTTGAAAATTTTAAAACTGCTATATTTGCGTCAATTGCATAAAAAGTGTTTGGCATTATTTTTCATTGTTCATTGTGAATTTTTTTATTTTCTTTTTAATTCGTTAACGAAAAGTGAATTTTTTTCAGAATATTTTAAAATAAATTTTCACAATTATTGAACATAAATTAAATTGCGTAAAATTGAACGAAGCGAGTTATGAATTTTTCTATCTCATAATAAAAACTTAACATTCGTTTTCTTTTACCCACCCGAATTCATACAATATGTAAATAAAATCAAATTAGACTAAAATGTTTTAGAAACCAAAATTGTTATTAAATAAAAAGTAAGTTTTAGAAACCAAAATTGTTATTAAATAAAAATTAATTCTATAACATTTTTTTTACTAACTTTCTACTCTATTTTTCATTACAGCTTTCCCACATGTGAATTCATTTATGATTACAAACTTTCTTGCTACTTATTTACATCACTGCCGGATTGTACTACGGTAAAATGTACGCTTTTAAATTTTTTTACATAAACTCTAGTAACAATTTCATAGCTAATTATAGTAGTAATTATTTACAATTAAAATATTTAAAAATAATTATTTATTTTAAGTAAAATTTGTAAATATATTAATATTAAACTTAAAATACATGTACATTTTTTTAATTAAATAAATTATAAATCTTAACAAATTGACAACAGCATTTTAAATAAATAAATTTTTAAATATAATATTTTCATATTATCATATTATTTATAAAATAAAACATATAAAAATGCTGACTGATGTATGCAAGTGACGTTTAAGGATTTTTTATAATATTTTTTTTTCCAAAAACCAAGTTTTTTAAAATTAAAATTTCCATATGTTAGGTATTTTCGAAGTTTCTACAATGCTTTTCATCTAAAAATTGTTTTTTTATTATTTTAAAAAAAACCTTTTTAGAATAATTGTTCTTTTTCTGCTCTCGGATCCTGCTGAGTCCTTCGCTGTTGCAACAATTTCTGATATCCTGTTGTTGTTGTTGTTACTTATAATATGCCAAGCACACCATCGCTGCTCAAAATAAAATATAATCAAAAATTCACTTGTATTTGTTTATTAACCCCTCCATATAATAAATTCACCATTAAATAAATGCGCGCCTCGCGCATTATTATAATATTTCTTATATTGCAAACCAAATACACCCAGTAACCCTAGCTAACCCACTCAGACTAATTTTCATTGAGTCACCTGCAGCAGCAGCGCAGTTTCACTCTGCCTTATCAGAAGCAAGGCTTTGTTTTTAATTTCACTTTGTTTGTTATATTTCACTAAGTTATTTTACCATAGTGCTGACCCCTGAAAAAGGTATGCGGCTTTCAATGTCATTTCAATTGTACGCGTTTGTTGTCTACCGAGAGATTTACGGCATATAGGTACATACTTATATACAAACCGCATTATATACACATATAAACTCTCCCATGCTATATTTACACAAATTCCTCGGTCTTGCACATAAAAACATCAGTGTAGAATATTTTATGTATGAATAAGTAATGAATACAGAAACACATATACATGTGTACATACATAAGTATCTTGGTTGAAGGGGGAGCATGTAAATATTTTTATTTATTTATAAACAAACATATATTTGTTGGCGTAGTTAATACAACACTTCTGCACTAATATTTACCTGCAAAAACAAACACATGCAAATGAAATCCATGCGTTTATTTAGGCAGCTCAGTTTGACATACTTAAAGGCATTTAAGTTATTGCTTTTTCTGAGTTTTTCGTGTGCGAGGGTAGTGCTTAAAACAAATTGTTTCCAGCTGTGAAAAGTAAGAGTGACATATGTGCCCATACTAGCTAAGAATGTGTATAAAATAAATAAAATACAAAAAAAGTGATTTATATTAACTAAATTGCCGCAATGTCATGCCACAGTTTCCCTGCTTACATTGATATGCATATAATATATATATATATGTGTAAATACATGCAAACATAAAAACATATACCCATATATAAACATATTTGTGAACATGATACATGTATTGTGGTTAAGTTGTGGGAATTTTTATGTTTACAAAAGTGGATACGACAGTAAATATGAGTGAAAATGTGCACATTACGAGGGTAATATGAAACAAGTCATTGTAGACAATTTAAGGTTTATAACGAATAAGTCAATTTTTCGTGTATTTCTTTAATAATTTTAATTTCTATATAATTTTGACGCATGCTATATTTTTGGTTTACTGTTTGTATTATCTTCTCGCATGCTATATTTTTGTCAAAAGGTAAAATCAACACAATTTCTTTGCAAAAATTGAAGTTTACGTCAAATGAATCAATTTTGTTGAGCATTTCTTTATAGATTTTTTTTTCTCATATGCTGTATTTTTACTAGAAAAAATTCAAATTAAATTATAACTTAAATTAATTTAAGACAATTGTCATCGCTTTTGACAAGTATTTCTTTATTGCTTTCATATTTCATATTATTTTCTCGCATGCTAAAATTTTTTCAAATATAAAATTAAACAATTTATTTGGGAAAGTTAACGTCAAATGAATCCATTTAATCGAGTATTTGTTTATTCCTCCAACTTTTTTTTCAACATTTTCTCGCATACTATACTTTTTGTCAGAGGTAAAATGAAACAAGGTATTTGCGAAAATTCAGCTTGAAGTAAAAAACACAATTTTGTCTACGATTTCTATTCTGCTAGTACTTTTTATATTATCTTCTCGCATGCTATATTTTTGTCAAAAGTAAAATTACAATTTATTTGCGAAAATTAAAGTTTAAGTCAAATAAATTAATTTTATTGAGCATTTTTTATAGCTTTTATTTTTAACATTATTTTATCGCATGCTAAATTTTTGTTTAAAAAAAGACACAATTTTGTCGAGTATATCTTTATTGCTAGTACTTTTTTTTATTATATTCTCGCATGCAATATTTTGGGTAGAGAAATTTTCAAATATTTGTCTATAAAATAAATATATTTAATTTTCTAGTTTTTTGAATCCTAATTTCTTATAGCAAACATTTTTTCATTTTACTTCACACTTCAACTATTATACTTCACACTGTGTATTTTCATATTATTGGTCATAGCTTGATATTTTATTCAAAATTATTTCCAGTGGGGATTAATTCAGCTTAATGAATATGAAAAATTTTTTATTTTAATTGTGGAAAATATTTTCATATTAAATAAACTGACTCACATCATCAATGTAATCCTGCTACATACATACATACATTTTTATAATGAAAATGAGTTTGAGTTTTTTAATTTCTTCAAAATAATAACGATGGAAAGTTCATAATTCTGGGTAAAGTAAGTATAGCACATTTAGTTTTAAATTCTTGATTGAGTAAATTTAGTATTGATGAAGAAATCTGGTTTATCATGGCATAATTGCCTTACAAATAACTGTCAAATGTACTCATTTCCGTGTTTAATTAGCTACGAGTTTTATTTGGAAATTTTTTATATAAAGTATGAATATTTAAGATGGTGGACTGGCAGATTTCACATTGCATCACAAATTCGAATTTAAGGAATCAAACTTATAAGCTGTAAAGTATATTTTACTTACTAATATAGGTAAAAATATAAACAACCAATTTGCAGTTGAAACACTCTAACTCGATTCCATAAACAATGAAACGCCACGAACTGAATTTTTGTCAACTGTGACTACTACATTTGCAATTCGTTGCAACTGAATGCATGCGTCACAAATTGAGCACAAGTTTTAATTCAAATCAAAGTAAACAAATCACAGTCAATTTGGTGCTGCCCAAAAAATCCAACTTAGCCAACTTTAACTTTTGCATTTTCTGTCATATTATAACATATATATGTATATATTATGGTATATATAAGTGCGGTATGTTGCTTGCTATCGCTGTTGACAATTTGTTGAAATAAAAAGTCATCCAACAAACATTCGCTTCCTGTCACTAAAACTTTTACAATTTGTTGAATGTCATAGATATATGCGTGTATATGTATGTGTAGGTGTGGGGCGTTGGGGTGTATGCGTCTTTGTATGTGTGGCTGTGTGCGAACAGTAGAAATATCGCACAGCTGACGTTGAATTTAAGCCGGAAAAGGCAAACACGACATATTCATCAGCTATAAATAGCCGGAATTGAAAGGATGACATACAAAGGAATATTTATTTAATAACATATTAAAGTTGAGATTTCATATTAAAGTTTCTTGTGTTTATTTATTATAGTAAGAAGACTTAAGCTTTAATTAAATATGTGTAATAGCATTGTGGTAGTGGTAAAGACAATTATAGTAAATAAATTAATATAAATATCAATTAATTTACATTTCTATCCAACAAATTATTAATATTATTTATATTATAATATATTATTTATATTTTGTAAATATTTTCTCTTTATTGCTTTTCCAACTGCCTGCAGTATTTCTAATCACGACCAGCTTTATTAGCTTCAGCAAATGTGGCCTTGGGCTCTCTGAGCATTGGTTACTCATACGCAGTTGCTTACTTTGTAAATATCATATTACTATTTAACAAGTAATTTGTCACCCGCAGCGCTGCTGTCAATCAGCATGAAATCAAGTGTAGTCACTATTCGTTATTTACAATTCATCAAGTTTCCGTTATTGCTGTAATTGCGCTTAATTTTGTGTGTGTGTGCGTTTGTTAATTTTGATTTATTAACTAAAGCGTTAATGTGTACTAAAGTATTTTAGTAGCTGAGTGCTAATTAAGAGTACTTTGTAAAATAAATTAATATTTATATACATTTTTATATAAATATATATGTTTATATGTTTATATATATATATATTAGGGTGGAGCGAAAAAAAAATTTTTTTTTTTGCTTAGTCTGGGGGTAAAATCTGTAGATTATAAAAAAAGAAAACTTTTGCACAAAATAATTTTTTTTTAACATCTAGAAGCGCACTCAGTTTTAAAGTAAATTTCGAGAAATTTTTTTTTATTAATATAAAATTAGTTTTGGTTTAAACCCTTTACATATATACAAAAATTACCGAATGTGACGGTTTTTAACTCAAAATTTATTTTAACGCTTAAGGAAAGCATGTTGTCGTTTAAGACTTTTTTTAAAACTCCAATAATGAGCACAAAAAATTTTTTTAAGTTGATAACTTTGAATTGGCCTGAAAGAGGACTCTCCACAGCTTCTAGAACACTTATAAAAAAATTTGTACGAAATAAAAATTTTAACTTGAAAATTTACTTTAAAACTGAGTGCGCCTCTAGATGTTAAAAACCGGAGTTAAAGGAAATACTATTTATATATTATGGTGGGGAAAAAACCGAAAATCTTTTTTTTCCGCTTAGTACTCTAAGAAATAGAAACAAACAGAAAATGCAAGATGGAGGACTTTCTCGCTACAATCAAGAGCTCATGCTTGAGGTGACTTTCTTAGAGTTGTCTAAGAAGATAATTTTTAGAGTACCAAGCGGAAATAAAATATTCGTTGTTTTTGGACCCATCCTAATATATACATTTAATAATTAAGATTTGAAAAATTTTGCGCGCAATAAAGAAAAATATTTATTGCTTCATTGGAGTATTTCCTACATAAATTTTAAATTTTGAAAATTTATTTTTTTGTAACAATAAAATAATTTATATTTTTGTTTGAATTTAATAATTTTAATATAACTTAAGTGTAATTTTAAAAATTTGCTTAAAGTTGCGTAATTTTGGCAGAAATAATCAAAAATTTAACGACACTGCTGATGATAAAATACTTGTACTTTTTATTTCTTCATATGCCTCCTCTGACATTTCCACATTGTCACACAAAAAGCTGGCTTTTCTGATGTAATAAAATTAATTTTTTTGATAATCATTGCCGCCTTAACCAGAATGTGCATATATGTAGCCTTATGTACAAACACTCACATATATATGTATACCATATATATATATTCAGAATTCGCCTTGAATTTTTCTCAGAATTATCTTGACTTCCTTTAAGTTTTGACATATAATGTACGCGAAAAATGTCGTAATCAAGAAACATAAAATTATGTGCGGCAGCTAAAACACATAATTATTCAACACTTTCAGCTATTATTTATATAAGCCGCCAGCCATTCAACTAAGAGGCTTACACACATATTCACATTAGCTGATGTATATATAGTACAAACATAACCACAAATTGACCGAACAATGCTAAAACTT